TTGCCCGTTAATAATGGAATTATTCAAATTCTGGTTTTTGAGATTGAAGGAGACTCTTATGGTACAAACTTCTTTTTTCAAATGAAAACCATAATTTTTTACTGTAAACTGTTTAGCAGATGATTTTTTTTTTTAAATATTGATGTGTCTAGATCAAAATTTGAACGAGTAGTTTCTGAATTATTAAAATGTACTTAAAATAATAGTAGTCCTTGATGAATCACACTTGATGCATTTTTAATTGTTAGTTATATATTACCTATTAAATTTTCTAAATTATAAATCTTGACTGTGTATAATCCTGTACGCTAAGTTTAGTTATGGACCATTGAAGAACAATTAGTCGTGACTAGTTTAATAGTATTTCAGTTTTTAAATACTATAATAATTAATATTGTAAGAATTCAAAGAATCAATAGCTTTAATACTTAATATTTAATATTTATTATTTACTATATAAAAACTTAAATGTAAATATTATTCATCAGTATTGTATAATAATAATATATTCCTAAGCTATATTATAATAATATGTCATGCTGGAACTTATTTAATGGTATTTAAATATATTTTTATTTAAACAATAATAATTATCCCGCCACGTTACACCAAATTACATTGCGCATGTAATGGACAAATCACTTTACTGCAATCTCCGAAAGACAGACAAAGATGTGAATATTATGAGCAGCTAGCACGAATTTTTCAGGAAACGTCAATATTATTTTTATCGATAGTAAAAATATAAAAGTAATAATATAGACATTATAATATTTATCACTGCTGCTGTGAGTGTCACATTATTTTAAGACTGCTGTAAAATGGACAAAATTATTTTAAAAAACGGCTAGAAATGAAATTAGAAACGTTTCCAGACTATCTACTGACCATTATTTGACTTTTAGATGTGTTTGTTTTATATTTTTTTAATATATTATAATATAATATCAATTAATCCACTATAAGCAGAAACAATTAACTTTTTATAGTATTATAATATATACATAGTAGGTAAATACCATTATTCATTAGTCGGTATATTGTCAATGTAGTTCATACCTACGTACCTATATCTAATGTCTAAATTTATTCAATGAATGCTTTATTACTTTTAATAGTTACTAGAATTAATACATTAAAGAATCATCACATCGTTAACTATATATGCCATCATTTTAGAATTTGGACCGATTATGATATCAAGCCATCAAGGTTTCGATTTAGATACATTTCCCGATGAATACATTTATACATACTACATAAATACAATATTAGGATATTATGTTATAATGGACATATTTATTTATAATATAATATGATAGTATGAATGGTTTTTGAAATTCAACCAACTGTGATCTTAGTAGCAAATAGGAGATGACGAAAAATGAATTAATATTAAACTGAAATGACTTCATGAGTGATCCTGTGAATAAATCATGATAAAATATAAACCACTTCAGAATAATATTTTTATGAATAACAATAAGGCCTATATAATATATGTTATACACTTTCCGGCACACTAAAGTACGCGGATTAATACCATTTTTTTTTCTATTGATTTCTGTCTGGCTTATCAAATAATAGGTACATTGGCTAGAAATCATTTTTGTACTTGCGTTCATTTAAATAACAGTTAATTTAGTTTTTCAAACATCTATGTAAATTATAATTTTAATTTAAAACATATTTATTTTATGTAAATTATATTTAGGTAGGTAATACACATTTGTGTATAGTCATAGAGATAGTACTATATCGTGTATAGAAACTATACTTACATAGTTAGTACTATATATTTAACGCAATCATATTATTTTTTAATGTATTATACCATGTTCGATCGTGTTTTATTATGTCCATAATAAGGTCTAAATAAAAAGTAAATTACAAGGTACTCGTACAAATAAAAAATAAATGCATGCTGCATAATTAAAACGATTTGGCCCTAGATAAATACACATGTGACATGTTACATAAGACGTGTTTATAACTAAATTTAATATTTACTTCCATAAATAAAACGAAAACCATCTTTGAAAACATTTTTACATCATTTTTGGGTAAATATTAATCATCAAAATTAATTCTTACTATCAGCAATCACTAATCAGTATTAATATTAATAAATGATAAAGTATTTTTTTTATTTGGTTTCGATAAATTATTTAAAGTATTATGTTCAAAGGTTGTTAATTCTTCGATTAATATGTTGATAATTATTGAAATTTATGTCTGTATTTGAAAACGACCTTTATGTTTTTGAGAGAATAATCAAATACATAGATTAAACAATATTGAATGAAACAGGTTCCTATTATACTTGTATTATACATTTATACAGGTACCAGTTGTATTCACGGTGCATGCTATTTACTTTAATAATTAATATATATTATTTGAAAATAAAATGTGTATGCTCCAATTTCTGGATGTACCTTCTTTCTGTCATTAATTTTTTAATGGCACAACTGTGTTTGAAACATGATGCATTTACTTTCTAATTCATGTAGGATGTAGGTATTAGTATTTATTAGTACCTAGTTACAGAGGGTAACTTAAATATTTAACTGGAATCTCTATCATTATTCCACAATAAAGATATTATGATCATAATATAACTAACGACCTCATATGATTATTGGGACTAACAAAGACATATTTAGCACGTTAGAACGAAAACCGCAAATTTAACTTAACCATTGTTATATGCTATTGAATATCATAGTGGCTAAAAATATTTCTATGCCAGTTCCTAGAAGACTTCAAAATTTGACATTTTTTTCAGCAAAACTGATTGTCATGTGCCAACAAAACAGCTATTTTTCATCCCATCAATTGTTTAACTATATTGGGCTTTTGTAATTTATATAAGCACGTATTACTATTTAATTTCAATTTTCTAAGCTCTCGTACACGCATTTGTTTGTTTATAAAATATAAAATTTAACTATCATAGTATAATATAATATTTTTTTGAATGGGACAGTAATTTATTTTTAAATACTATTACGAGGTATTTAAATAGTATGACGTATAAAATATTACTTAATTGCAAATAAAATAAATCAAAATATGAAAAATATGTTTTTAACGTTAATCAAATAATCAGTTATCTTTGTTCAGTGGCGGTGAGGGTTCTCTGAAGAGGAGGAGCAGTGAACATCACATTTTTGTTATCTTCAATACTTAAATATAAGCGATAAGTATAACTATTTTGGTTAGACAGTTAAGTTTGACAGGAAACTGATATAGATTTCACAACATATGATTGATTAATATCTAAAAAAAAATTGAATAACACGTCTTGCTGCAGTAATGTACATAGATTTCGAGTGTTCATCGTTATTGAGTATGTCACTAACGCGATAACGATAGGGATGTGTAATGGCGTTTCAATTTGAAACCGATGATAATCAATTCATACGAAAAACAAATGCGAACCTCGGAGACGGCGTGCAAGCTACTATTTCTAATGATATTTTGGAAATCATGTTTTTGTTAATAATTTGGTAAGTGTATTGCGATAATATTTTTTGAAAAATGTTACAGGTTTTGTTAAATCAATACATTCATTGCTGATTGCTCTGATCTGAATCTAAAATAATCAGCCAATAAGAGATGAGGTTTACTCTCTGGCACCTCCTGACTATATTACTACAGCTTCGTTATGTATAATACAGACTTATATAAAATAAATTCTAATTTAATTCAACGAAGAGCAACATTTTTTAATCAAGAATCACGAAACAGAAATACAAAAAATACGTGTAACATAATATATAATAGTATAGGTATGCATTGTATTAACTCTCGTGGAAATCGAATGTGACCAAAAACCAGTTTTTAAACTATAATATATGACGCAACCGAAATGCATCGTACAAACATAATATTAAATTGAGCACAGTAAATAATTGACGAATTCTGTCGTTGTACATCACCTCATAGCTATAATTAAATGCATAAAATGGGACTTACATATGTTTTTTCTAGGTACAAAGACGTGTACCTTCATTTAAACGTCGTTTCAAACAAAAAAATACACAAAACTAGTGAGGCTGCAGAGAACGAACTTTCCTGTAATGGGTAAAAATCCTTCATACAGTTTGAACGCACGCAACCACCGCTCCGCTATAATATACATAGGTACTCTTTTCCCTCGCGGCTCGCGTGCCGGTTTACGTAAACCGATCGAACGATTTTCAAACACTATAAGTTTATAACATACCTACGCCCAGGTAACAATAAAAAATAACAATATAACGTACAGGGTGTCGATATAATACATCTCGCCAGCAAGAAACAGCGAGTAAAGAACGTTTGCAAAATGAGACAAGTCTTATATCTATGGTGGGAGAATTAATGAAGAGCTAGGGGTTCTGAAATCGTTTTTATTCGTTTTATTCGAAAGCGTAACCAATGGCCATTAGGTACGATCTGACCACTATCGGTGGCATAAGATGATACGCATTACAATGCATAGATATACGATTATTATGGGATTATTAGTCAGGACAATTTTAATGTAAGAATATTTGGGTAGAAAACTATAATTGTGCGAAGTCGGATAATAGTGACTTGATAAACCCAGCATTGACAGTCAACTGACAGGTTTGGTTGGACCAACTACCAAGACAGAAATTGACAACACCAAACCATTTGAAGAAAGAATATGGATCAGCTAATGTTTAAATAAAAAACTAAGACAACCCCTAGCGAGATTGTAATAACGAAGATCAAACAATCAAACTTAATCCGAATGTTTGGGAGAAATATTAGTGATGAACTAATGGAATAAACAACTGAAACTCTTGACTCTACACCAAAGTATGACTTTTTGTGCAAACATACAATATATTGCGCATTCTTTATTTTCCTTTTTTATCTTTTGTAATTTTTAACCGTAAGTCTGCTGTTATCTATTGTTATTCATCACACATAAAATTATTACTAATCGCCATCGTCGTTCGTTGTGAATAATTAAAAAATAAAATTACCTCGTAGGACCACGTGCACGACACGCCCGCGTACTTTTGCACGCACCGGCCAAGCTCGACGTCCTCGTGCGTGGTGAACAGGTTCTTCAGGCAGTGTTTGATGTGCGGCACCACCCTGGCCAGGGTCTCGCGGCTCATGATGACGCCGGGCCCTCCCATGCAGAAGTTTTCGTCGTACTCGAGGCTGAGCAGACCGAACTCCTCCTGGTTGCCACGGCCAGCCTGTCCGATGAACACCGGTTTACGGCTGTCGACGGACCGGAGAAGCGCTGCCAGCCGGTCGGGACGCACGTACACGTCGTCGTCAGCCCGCATGAACCACTCGTATGCGCCTCCGTAGTTGTCCCACATGTGCTGCAGCATCAGGAACGACTTTTTCTGCGGCGGGTACGAGTCGTCCACCGTGGGCAAACGGACGAGCGGCAGGTCGGCCGCGCCCGGCGGTTGGACCGACGTTTCCGAGCTGTAAAACACCACGCGGCCAGGCACACGACGTGCCCACGTGCCGTGAACCGCGGCCGCCCTGGTGGCCAGGTACCGGTTGGCCGTCATCACACCGACGAACAGTAACGATTCGGGTGGACCTCCGGCTTCCCCACCGCTAGCCATAGGTCTCGCTCCACCGCCACCACTATCGTCGTCGCCGTCGTGGGCCTGCGACGATTGCTGCAGCGGCCGCAGCACGCCGGGCCGGCCGCCATCGCTACTGACTCCGCCACCGCCACCGCCGCAACCGGCGTATAACCGGAATCGGCCGTACGATCCGCCGAACGTGTAGCCGACAAACAGTCCAAGAATGATGCCGGCCAACACGTGCGTCAGACGTCGCCTACGATTGCCGGTCGATTTCTTCTTGCCACCGGCCGACGACGACCGTTGTTTCTTGGCCACAGTTTTGTACGCATAGTGGTATTGCTGTTGCTGCTGCTGCGGTGGCCGCGATAGCGCCGGACGGCCGTAGTGGTGGTGACGGTGGTGGTCGCGGTGTTCGGTGTCTGTCGAGGTGGCCATCGGCGGCTCATCGTCCGTACGCTGCAGCGCCGCTCGATGCACTGCACGTTTTTCACATAGCGGTGGTCTGACAGGAACAGCTGTACCGCCGATAGACGGTGGGCATGTGATCGCGAAAATCACCCGATGCCGACCCACGCTGAGATCCCGTCGTTGTTGCGGCGATCGGTGTTTTGTCCGTATATTATCGGTATAATATACCAAACCGATATTATTATCAACGAAATCGGAAATGGCAACTACCTATAAAATAATATTTTTAATATTATACAGACGAATTCGAGTGCACGCGTTACGACGCACGACTATGATACTGTCGACACACCGAAACGGGACTACCGCTGCGTGTCCGAATTGCACGAACGTACTGACACACCGTCGCGTTCGTCGTCGTGGTCGTCGCCGTCGCCGTCGCCGTCGTCGGCACTCGACGGTGGACCGCCGCACGGCCGCGGGCGACGACGGTGACGCGTCGACCACAACGGCGGCGGCGGCGGCGACTGGTTCTCCGACCGCCCCTCCTGCACATGATCGGCCACCGCTGCCGCCGCACAGACGACGTTTTGCGCGCGGTAATATAAAAATTTTCAGCCGCTGCCCGTCCCATTGTTGTGTATTATTATTTTTATTATTATGGTTGACGAGATTTTTATTCTTTCGCTCTCACACACTACACCTATGGGTAGGTACCTACTTAAATATTATTATACTGTGCGTGTACCCGGCGGTCTACGACGACAACGTTATTATCGTTATTATAATTTTACGTCGACGATTCGATTAAATGCGTGTGCCCGTCACAAACACATCACAAATCACAATATTATGTAGGTAGTCGAGGTGCCTATATGATAATATCATGTTATATTACACCCGTCGTACTCGAGGACACTGAGACAGGTATAGGTACGTCGCGTTATGCTTGTGGGTATATGTAGGATGGAAGTGCGTGAACAAATAAGCGATACGGTTTATTGAATAAATTTTATTTTTGTGATTTGTCCGACTAGAATTTATGGGTGATGTATACGAAGTGCTCGAATTAGTGGAAAGGGGGGGACAGGGGACAAGCTCTTCTTCCATTTATTATTATTTTTAATAATATTTGGAGATGAGCACCCTGCATATTAACCATTTGCATTAGATCGGAAAGGACCCCTCCCCGGGTGTACGTTATTTTTTACGTAACATTTAACTTACTTCTTTTATTATTAATGTAACTAATACCGTATATTATTGGTCATATGAAGTCATGAAGTCGTTACTGGCATGCTCGTATATTGTAATAATTATTTGTTTTATGCTCGATGGTTTTCAAGTGTGGGGGGAAGGGCTGTGCAAATCTAGAATATAGTTATAGGTTGAGTTCAATAATATCAAGTCACGCTAATTTTGTTCAAGTATGAGAGTCCCCCATTCTTTTATTTTTCCGATTCGAGCACTGCAACGTATATATACGACACCCATGAGACGACGGAAACATAATATAATCCCTATTCGCACGACAGCTGAAATCCCAAACGTATATGCAACACGCGCTTGTGCCTTACATACATTTATATGTGTTGTCACATAAGGATGAAAATGTCTCAGGATTATGAATTATAATAATAAGGACAAACCTATTACAGTTACAAGTTATAAAATACCTACTATATGCTATTATGTACATAATATATGTATTTATAAAAAAAACATCAGCGGATAAATCATCAAGTTGAAAACAATTAGCTTTTTATACCGGTTCATCAGATCGTATTCATCCTAAATGACTAAATGATAATAGTTTATAGGTACTGCATTGTCTGCATTATATAATATATGATAATTAATATAATATAATGTAAGCCACTTAGCCACTATCACTATTCACTACCTAGTACCCATAACACAATATACATACAATGTATGGTATGCTGTTGTCTGTTGTTATACATACTCGATAGCCGATAAGGTATAATATATTATATTTTGTCGGTGATCGCAGATCAATAAATACATTCACTCAATGAATCCGTGACAATATATAGGTACTATAGCTACTATCTACAGTTTATAGGGAATAATGCAACGAGAATATGTGCATCGCATGTATATTATTATATGGATAATTTACTATACAATATATTATACATATCTACTTATATAATATTGTATTATCCCTACTAAAACTTGATGATCTATTCATATTATTGTATGTAACTATATATTATATGATAGTAAGCCCATAGGTTTATACTATATTGGTATTCAATAATAGGTTACAATACAAATTTTAAATTGCTTGAAATAAGTGATAACATAATAATAAATTTATAATTAAATATATGCATTACACTGTGTTCCGCATATGAGGAAAACCGATTCAAAATGAGTAAGAGTAAAGTTCGAAAGTTGTAAGCTATAATTGATTTTTCTTGTCTATTCGTCCAATTTACAGCTAGATCAAATATATTGTTTATTATATAGTTATTAGTTATTACCTAATATATTTATACACGAGATCTTATTTTGTTTTGTTATTTAAATTTGTTTGTTTTTTTTATTTTTTTACTTTTACGATTTGCATAAATTGTACATTTTGTAAACATTTTTTTTAATAATTTTTAACTAACCGACGTATAACAGTCATATTGCCTGATTATAAGTACTTATAATAAATTGATTTAATATAATAAAATGAGAGTGCCAAGCAGTGTATTTATTAAAAATAATTATATCCTCATATTTTTTCAGGAATTGATTTTTTAATGTTTTATTGAGTCAAGACGTGAAATCTATTAATAACGCCAATGGACAGAAAACAGAGCTATGCGTGTTGTCAAAAATTGAGTATTGTATGAATATTTAATTTATCTTTTTGATAATATGGATAGTTAACTTTTTTTGCTTAGTTAAATGTCTTATAAGCACAGTGGTTTTATACCTTCCAATATTTCTTTATCAATTATCCTGTAATACTGTACCCACCTATAACAATATTATATAGTGTATAATACATGCATTACTACATGATATGTAATATGAGTTTCTGAGTACCCACACTCACTACTCAATTGGGTTTTAATATTTTAATGTTCATTATTGCATAGAATATAAAACGAATAATAAATAATAACATATAGCATATTCCAGCTATTTCCTAAATTATAATTAGTGAGTCAGTATGGGTGTATCGATACACTCGACAAAGAGTCTCCTATTTCACGTTTAAAAAATGATCAGGACAGACAAAAGTATAAACATTCAAAATATATTCTAGTTCTGGATTCCAAAAACATTAAATCTTAAATAAATATTATCGATTTTTTAACTTCTTTCTTAAAATCCACTTATTTAATTTTCAGGTAATTCTTTTTACTTATCATTATAGAAATGTGCTAAAAAAAATTCTGTGAGTTACGACTATTTTCACTGGAAAAATAATTAAAAACTTAAAAGTTACAATTCAATATAGTTGCAGTTCGTTATATTATACATTTTTATTTAAATAAAACAATAATATTGAACAAATTTAAAAAAACATTAATATTATGTATACCTATACGGCTGTACAGTTTGCAGTGTAGGTGTATTAGATATTTTATTTAATTGTTTCTTTTTGGGTGTAGTATATGTAGGTACTATTTGTAATTACAATTTATTGTAATCATACGGTGTGCAGGTGTGCTCAATTAAACGTATAAGAAACTGATTATGAGACAATGAGAAACTCATTATAAGTTCCCCACCTAAAATGGATCACTCTGTATAAATAAAAAAATAATGATTGTAATAGACATCATCGTGTATTATGAATTTATAAATTATTATATTATATTGATTCTTGGACAAAAATACCGACTGTTTTCGAGATATAATGAACATAAGATTCTTCCATTTATAATAAATGTTTTTTTTTATAGTTTATAGTTTTTTAAATTTCAAGACATTTTTGGGTATAGCGAGATTCGCCTACATGCAGAACCGGTTTCTATGCATTCAATGATTTATCATTGCTCTTTTGTTTAAAATAATATGACAAGACATTACAGGGCACAAATTTGCAATGAGGTAAGCAACACGATACGTAAAATAGTTGTTATTACTAGCATATCTATGCCACCTAGTCTGTTATTTACCGTTATTAATATTAAAGTTAAATCTTATAGAAGCTATTATCGGGCATTTTCTTCGAGTGATCATATTTTAAGCCCATCGCACATGCATGGTAATTATATCGCATATACCTACAACCTATTGGCTATTAGAAATAAATTGAGTCAAACAATTTTATCTCACGTGCTTAAAAGAGTATAATATATTAGACTGTATTTTTTTCGTTTTTGCTTAATTTGTTTTGGTTTTTACCGATTATTTTGACCCTCGTAGCACCAACAGCTATATCAGATATTTATTTAAAGAAGGCTGAAAACCACTCTCTAAGTTGAAGATTGAAAATTTTTTTATACTACAAAAAGTGTCTCTAGAGTCTAGACATACATAAAACGCACAATCATTATATAGATCCTCTCATCATCGGTCCGCTTATAGACAAATCAGTTGTTGGAAAACTTGTTTGTCAAACTTCAATTTTCAAGAAATCAAAATTTATTTTTTGCTCTGACATGAATTTTATTCGAACACTTTTCGAAAATTTTCAGACGTAAATATATAGTATGTGTCGTGTGTATCTCGTAATTGACTAGGCCGCAGTATTACAGTAATCTATGTATTAAATGTTATGTATACTCTGCAGTAGATTCTCAATGCCATTATTAAATAATAAATATCTATTGTGACTACTGTTTTTTTCTAGTGCCGAGTTTGTTCATTAAACTCTCTCATATATTTATAATGTAATTGGAATTTATTTATTCCGTAATAAACATTATTATTAAAGACATTATGATTTATGAGACTTCTGAAAAAGGGTGGTGCAAAAAGCCAAAAACTTCAGATTTGTCTACCGAATATTCATCGTTGCTTGAAGGTATCTATATCCAATACATAATGTTGGG